ATTATCTTTCATGTACTGACTTTTGTTTTCCTTAATATTTGTGTTAAGATGTTCGGGGCATCTTTTCTTAAAAAAAGTTTAAGCTAATAATGAAAGATGACAAATTTACTAACAGTTCAACATAAAAAAAATATTGAAGAAATGGTCAGCACACGTTTGAAAGCAGCTTACACACCAAAATCTCAAATATGTTTTTGTAAATTGCAAGTGATCAAGAGATGACTGAAAAAATACATAACGACAAAGAAAATTTTGAAGACATTTGAAGGTAGATGGAAGTGCTAAACAAAAAAAAGCTATGACGTAGGGTGTTTTTTTCGATCATAGTACATACGTAGACGGTTACAAACACGTACCATCTTCAACCTTACCAATGTATCCTTATAAGTACCTCTGCAAGACAAAGCTTAAAGATCTCGAAATTAATAAAGTTGTCATAGGGGTCGCAAGTCTTGCGACGAACACACCTTCTACCATTAAAAGCATAGCGACGTTAGGTTCTAGAATAAATCCAAAAAATATATAAGTATTTATGACAAATTGAGAATTTAAACCTAGGTTGACCAATTCCAAATCGCAAGCCTAACCAACAAAGGCTAAGTTCATAGTTAGCTCATCGTTGCTACACCAATTCGACGATAGGGTTGGTATCGATGTCGCGTTTAGTGCTTGATACTGTTGGTGTTTGCAAAGAACAAGCAAATAGAAACCAACGAGGATGACGAATACAATCATGCACATTATGAGGTTAGGCGTGTAGCTCGGTGAAGTGGGGAGGACCCATACGGACATCACCACATGCTGCGGTGCGGTTGGAGGTACACATGAGGAGAGCGGTGAGGAGCAAGGAGGCGGTGGCGACAATGACAAAATCCTTTAGCTCATAGGGATGAATATAGCGGTGGGGCGGGTGAGGCTCAACCCCCCCAACCGCATCCATGAAAGAGAGAAAGGAAGGTGTTGGGCGCAACACCTTTTTGCTAGGGTTCCCTCTGTGCGTCGTCACCCAACAGCCAAGGGCCGCAAAGTTTGGAGCCTTTCATTTTGCGGGGAATGTCACAACGAACATCTCAGGCATACGCGAGGCGGCATACAAAGTCTATGGCGAAGCACATTGGCACGAGAAGCGAAGGCCCGATGCATAGGCTACGAAGGATACGCCTCGGTGAAGGTCGGGCCAAGACGAGTCCTCGGGCCAACCCCATCAATATTATGGAGTGAATTGGACCATAATGCCCCCGTTGTATGGAATATTTCGAGTATCTAGGGTAGGTGCGGGTATTATGGTCCCCATGTTGTAAAAAAGCACTATAAGAAGCGCCTTCGGGCAAACAATAGGGAAGGAGGCCACTGTTCTTGTAAATTGAGTCTTCTGCCTCCGCTCTCGTCCCATGTTTCACTATTGAGAGCACGAAGACCCACTGTCCGAGACTTCGATCGAGGACAACATAAAGGCTCTGGAGGTTGAAGATGACTTTAGTCCCCTCTTCCATTAAATCCTAGGTCCACCAGTTTTGGTTCGTCACACCACGCTGTGATGGCAAAGTTGTAGCCCACAAGACCACAAGGACCGCCACGGTGACACGAAGGTAGGCGTCGCACATGCATTGGATGCATGCACTGATGGGCACCACAACATTGTCGGTGATGATGCTACGATTGTTTGCCATGGAAGAAACGAAGAGGGGAGACCTTGGTTGAGCTCACGTACTGTCATTGGTTGTGTTGTATCTGGTTGGGTACAATACGATCATCTGATAAATTTATAGGTATGCGGAGTTGGATCTCGTCAAGACGTGGCGCTGGATGACTAAGAGCATCTCCAAGAGTATTTAAAACTCACTTTCTAAATCATAATTTTGAGAGCCATCTGCATAAAAAACGCTTTGTATATATATTTCCACTCTTCAACAACTTTTCTATATGTTGTGCACATGAGCCATTTTGGCTATCTATCTTTGGTTCGTGGGAAATCCAGAATAGAGGATAGCAATATTTGGATAACCACTTCAAGAAGTTGTCGAAGGGTGTTTCAAACTAATCTCTACTCCTAACAATTAGGAAGGATATAGAGAGTCTCTCGAAGTTACTCTAATCAATCTATTGAGCTGAGGGCGGAAGAGTAGGTACGAGGCTAATTACTTCTTGTGACTCAAGCAAGAAGTATTAGTTTAAATGAAAAGAAAAGGCTTTATATAAACAATTATGTGTAATATTTATTTACACTTCCACGCCAAAGCACAGGTCTAAAGCTAGCCCAGTCTCACGGGAGCTGTGTTGCCACTGTGTATGGGTGGGGTAGAGGTCCGGGGGTTTTCTCGGCCTGCGTGAAGAAGGTCTTCTTCTTAAGCACAATGCCTGGGCTGTCTTACCCCGCGGGTCAAGTATTTTATTATTAATTTTTTATATATTTGATTATTGAAATATTTGTTAATATATATGTTATCTATCTACACTAATATTGATTTTTAAACAAATCTATATGTTATCTTCAAAATCAAGTGGATATTAGAAATCCAAACCCGAATTTGATATATTCCTTTTTTTATTTGTATCTGATAATATTTGTATCATATTAGGATTCAAATTAAAATACGGTAAACAGTGCTATCCGGATTCGATTCCATGCAAATGCAATCCGAATCCATCCTACTTGCCAACCCATCCCCCCTCCTCTCGCGAGGGGTGGAAACATTAATGTCACTAGTGTTCAGAAGCATGGTAATTACTCTTGTTTTCTCTTACACCAATAACATTGATGGTACCGCTCTTAGGTTTTTAAAATTTTGTTGCTGCAAGTGACATCACCGAAAATCCAAAATAGTCCGGATCTGCCCCTGCCCATGCGTGTAGGGATGTAAGCCATGTGCTTTAACGCCGTGTGAACCAACTGTAGTGGCAATACCTTTAATTTATTTGGCAATATTTAATTACCGCCAAATCAGATGATAGCTTCCGGGTAGATAAATGGAAAACTTAGTGTACCGAACTACTCTATTCGTTCTAAATTGTAAATCGCTGAGGTTTTCTAGATGTGTAACTTATACACTATGTCTAAATGTATAACAAAATTTATGTATCTAAAAAATAAAACGAAATACAATTTAGAATAGAGACAATACATTTTTGCAAGAAACGAAAATATGAAAATAAAAAATAAAAAATCGAAAAAGGCCATCAGCGGCATCCGAGCTGGGGGCCGTTGGTGGCTCGGCAAGGGACAGAAACAAAGCTCAAGGCCTCTCAAAAAAAAAAGCCCAAGGAACAGAGGAACCGTCGCTGGCCTCGACGGAAGAACGCAGGCAGAGAGGCCCTATATATCTGGGCCGGAGGATCGGCGAATCAGTCCAGAGAATGTCAGGGAGACTTCAGCTACCATATACGGTTCCCCTCAAAAAATAAGCTACCATATACGGTGTACACAATTTCCTAAAAAAATATACGGTGTACACAAAAAGTATAGTAGAAGTCAACGTATGTAAACTCAATGGAACATGCTAGCGCCCGGTGTCCGGCCCTAGGCCCGCATCCGGATACAGCTCCCCGCGCTACTTTGTGCCGCACGCCCGCTCGCTCGGGTTACGCGTCACTCAAACGACTCGTCCCACCCACGCCACCCGCCTCCACGCGGGCCCACACCACCCGAACATCACTAGCATCGAGAAGAAGAGGAGACACCGAAACGAGACAGCAGAAGGCGAGAAGGGAGATGCAACACCGATCTACTTTTGAAACATCCAAATGAAATATTTGCAACATACGTCTGACACACTCGTAAAAACACCTAAAACGCTTGAAAAAGTCGTTGCAAAATATATGCAGCATCTAGATAAAACACATGTAACATCCAGATAAACACACTTGCAAACATATATCTGAAAAAACAGATAAAACATTTAGAACAGACTCTTGCAACATGCGTGTACAACCATTGCAACATATGCAACATCCCGATCTAGTTTTGAAACATACATATGAAACACTTGCAGCATACCAATGAAACATCTAAAACACTTGAAACATACACTTGCAACATGTGTTTTTCACCCTTATCCTTTCGGACGACGCCGAGCAAAGCGTGGAACAGTCGGTTTCGGCCAACCGGCAGCCAAAGATGGTGGCACGACATGGCAGCGCCCACCTACACCTGGCATGATAGAGCCACTCTGTATCTCTGATGTCGCGAAATGAGGACGAGCATCGCAGCGGACACGACCTTCTCGTGGGGAATGGCAGCATTGGCACCACCTCGAGGCGGCGGGGGACGAGGCATGACGCTCAGCTGCGGGGCATGGGGCACGATGCATAGGGGCAGGGACGAGGCACGTCGCGGCGTGGGATGGGGCACAGCGAAGTGAAGCGTGCACGACGGGGGATGGAGTGCGACGCGGCGGCAGATGCAGCAGAGGCATGGTGAAGCTGCGACGCGAAAAGAGGCAAGTGGGGATTGGGGATTTCTATTTTTTTTAGAGAAGGTGGGGAGACGGACACGCCCTGATGGACACCCCAAGTATTAACGAAACTCAATCCTCTGGATGCAACAAGGAAGGTGGGGGTGTATTTGAGATCCACAAGGGTCTTAATCTGATTCAGGTGGAACGTGGAAGTAAAGAGAAGACCGTACCAAACTGGAAAATCAGATCAAATGTATATAGTAAGTATATCATTTTCACTAGTACATGTATTGCGCTCGTTTTCAACCAAACAAATTTGTCAGAAGAATCAGCTGCACCTCCATCAGGAGCTACTCCCTTAACACTAACACGGTACTGAAATGACTGACGACCCTGTATCTGTAATTCCGTATGTAGTAGTGTAGTGTGGTATGCCGTATACGGTACTCAGAAATACAGTAGAAATCAATGTATATATGTAAACTCACTCCTCTGGCTGCAACAATCATCAGCTCAACTTTTTATTCACTCATCACTCTGTAGTCTGTAATAATAATTCACCCGTTTCCTTTCCTTTGCGCCGGCCCCAGCCCCCAGTCCTGATCCTTACCGGTAGCTGCGGTAGGCGGGGGTGTACATGCAGCTCTCAGCATACTTGACGAGGTCGTCGGGACGTGGCAAGCGGCTGGCGAGGCCGAGCTCATAGGCCTTGGCGGCTACCTTGGCGGCGATGCGCGCGGAGATGGCGCGGATGTTGGTGAAGGGCGGGAAGATGAGGCCCTTGGCGAAGTGCTCCTCGGTGACCTGCTCCGCCAGCGCCTCGGAGGCGGCCAGCAGCATGTCGTCGCGGACGCGGATGGCGCCCGAGATGACGACGCCGAGGCCGAACCCGGGGAAGATGTAGGCGTTGTTGGACTGGCCCGGCACCAGCGTCTTCCCGTCCAGCTCCACCGTCGGGAACGGGCTGCCGCTCGCGAACACCGCGCGGCCCTGCGTCCACGTGTAGGCCTGCTCCGCCGTGCATTCAGAGTGCGACGTCGGGTTCGACAGCGCGAAGATCACGGGCTTCTCGTTCAGGGCACCCATGGCTTCCACCACGTCCTGGGTGAAGGTGCCGCCCTTGCCCGAGGTGCCGATCAGCACCGTCGGCTTCAGCGACTGCACCGCCTCCAGCAGCGTCGCCACGGGCTCGTGCTCGTGCGCCCACGGCTTCTTGAACGCCTGCAGCAAGTCTATCCGCGACGCCACGATCAAGCCCTTGGAGTCCATCAGCCAGATCTTCTGGCGGCACTCCTCGATCGGAGACCCAGTCTGTTTTGACATCTCGAGAGCAATGAGCTCGGCAATGCCAGTCCCGGCCTGCAAAGCAGACAACAAAAGCGTGTCAATTTTCATCAAGAAAAGCAGCCCGTGCGTGATCCAGAACTTTGAGAAAGAAAATGTAACACTACTGATGCAGTATACTAGTAGATCAAATCGACTGACCTCGCCGGCACCGAGGAACAGGTAAGTGTGGTCTGCAAGCGTTCCACCGATCACCTTGAGCGTCGCCAAGAGGCCTGCCAGGACCACGGAGGCTGTTCCCTGCAACAATCACCAACCCCGCAGCGGTTCATTCATCGGCACGGTAGAAAGAAAAGGACGAGTACAAAACAGGCAGCACCCCCTGTTTCTGAACTTGGCATCCATGGACCATGGTGTTGCTGTCAACACACAGAGCTGCATAAGCATAGCCTACCTGGATGTCGTCGTTGAAGACGAGATGGCTCTCCCTGTACTTCTCCAGCAGGTCAAAAGCGTTGTGGTTGGCGAAGTCTTCGAACTGCACGTCAGAGGTCAAAAAGAACATCGCATTTCAGATTCAGGAATCAGGGGTCGGCAGGCACACAGAGAAAGGCCCGGCAAAAAGGCGAAAACCAACAATAGCTGGTTTGGTAGTTGTCTGTGTGTGACTGGTCCACTGTGACCGACGACTGAGACAGACCTGGGTGAGGACCTTCTCGCCGTAGTTTTGCTTGACGGCGGTCATGAATTCTTCAAGAAGTTCATGGTACTCCTGTGAACCATCACGACAGAAATATCACGTCTCAATCCAGAGTTCCAGACAAGACATCGGTTACAATGAAATCACCAACTGCAGGTGGTGAACAGAACAGCCATGTACGTAGGAGCAATAAAAGTAAAACTATGGAGGATGACTGCAGATCAGTGGCTGACCTCGCCGGTGGCACGTTTCTGGCGGAGGCCGATGTAGAACTCGTCGTTAAGCAAGGTATCGTTGTTGGTGCCGACATCGATCGTGATGGGCAGGCACTGCAGCAGCGAAATCATTTGCCATCATCAGGGAAAAGGGAAAATGAACACAGCAAGTTTATTAGGAGTAATACTGAAGAAAGAGCATTGTGAGCAGCGCTTACAGCTGACGGGCGAACACCTCCGAGGGCAGTGTAGAGAGAGAGCTTGCCAACGGGAATTCCCATCCCCTGGCAGCCGAGATCCCCGAGGCCGAGGATGCGCTCGCCGTCGGTGACGACGATGACCTGGATGCTCCTCTCGGGCCAGTTCTTGAGCACCTCCAGGATCTTGCCCCTGATGAAAAGGCAACGCACGCGCATTAATAAGTACAGAACAATCAACAATGGAGGAAAAAGAAGAATACGCGATCAGAGGGGACTTGCTTACTTGTCCTTGAGGCTGATGTAGAGCCCCTGCGGTCGTCGGTAGATGCTGCCGTACTTCTGGCACGCCTCGCCGACGGTGGGCGTGTAGACGACGGGGAGCAGCTCCTCGACGTTGTCGATGAGGAGCTTGTAGAAGAGCCTCTCGTTGCGCTCCTGCAGGTCCATCATGGCGATGTAGCGGTGCAGCGGCTGGTCGTACTGGCGCAGGTTGTGCATGAGCTTCTTCTCCTGCAGCTCCTGCGACGCCAGCGCGGGGGGCAGCAGGCCCCGGAGGTAGTGCGCGTCGCGCTCCGCCTCCGAGAAGGCCAGCCCCTTGTTGTGCCGCGGGTCGCGCAGCAGGGTGTAGCCGCTGTACGAGGAGGAGGGGGGAAGAGTAGGAGGAACAAGAAACAGATCGTCAGATCATGCTCATGGCGTAATCGAAGATGTTTGGACGAACGAAGATGGGAAAAGAAAAGGCAGCTTTAGGCGAGTCGCGTAACGTCGGGTGCCGTAAAGAGGAATGTTTGGTAAACGAGATCTCGCTTGCGAATGCGAATGGAAGGGAAAATGACGCAAGGCGTGAGCATGGAGATGGAGAAGGATCCGATCCGACGGACCTTGCGACGGAGAAGGCCCATGGCGTGATGAGCTGCTCCTCGGTGGCGCGGTCCTCGCCGTACGCGTCCCCGACGCCGCCGCCCGCCATCTCAGCGAGTGAGTGAGTGAGTGTCCGCCCAGCGACGATCTCGACCGCCTGCCTCTCAGGAGCCCTCCTCGGCGCCGGGGAAGACAAGGGACAGACAGACAACGAGCGAGCTGTATGTTTCTTTCGCCGCGGGTTCAAGGCAGGTTACAGCGGAAGACGGATGTGGAAGAAGAAGCGACGGGCGGTGGCGCGAATTTGTAGCGGTCGCGACAGCGACACCCGTGCCCGGCGGAGGGGCCCACACGGCAGGGGCCCTGAAAAGTAGTAGTCGCATCGCTCCCATAGTCTTTGGTTTTCCACGGCAGGGGCCGCCGCGTGTGGAAGGGAGGAAAGGTCGGGGACGCGAATAGTAAGCGTCGCGGCGAGGAAGGAAAGCCAAAGGGCGTTTGTGGAAAGGTGCTGTGTGACCAGCTGGTGGCGGTGGGGAAGGGAAGCTGCGCGCGGCCGCGGCTAGGAAGGCCAACAAAGCCCAATGGGTTGGTGACTTGTGGTGGAAGAGTCTCGCGGGCGGGGCGGGTGCGCGGCGGCGGGCCTTCCGGCTTCCGCACCTGGTACGCGACTCACCCCGCCGCCGCCGCCGCCGCCGCCGGGCAACGGAATTGCACGTAGCGACGTACTAGCGGCGGATCCTGCTGCCATTGGTCTGGCCATCGGCGGGTACACGCGCTTCTTGTCTGCGCACGCACGCACCAGGGGCGCACGGCGCGCAGCCGCGCACCGTACCACTGCCGTTGCGCCAACTGTTCAAGACCGCGTGCTGCTGACAGCACCATAACTCCTCAGCAAAACTACGTGACAGATCAAAGTACAGTAGCGCCTTAGGCAAGTCTCCGTGAGGATTTCATGGTCCGATTAACAATGCATCCATATTTTAGAAATAGTACGGTCTCTATTTCCATGAAACTCTTATCATCTCTCTTTTCATCAATACAGTGCCACATCAGCCTATTTAATGCCCATAAAACTCTGATGAAACCCCACTGAGACTGGCCTTAGCTGGCTGGGCTGAATCGTGGATTATTTACTGCTACCTAGTTTGGCTGGTTTGGTGTGAGAGAAAAATGTTGTTCCAGCTGACACGTCCTGTGAACCTATTTTCGGAAATTTTCTTTCTCGTAACTTATATAATGGGATTTCCTATTTTCTAGATGTATAGCGCGACGGTTGTGATCCTACAGACAAAGAGATCCGACGGCCAATTATGATCTAATAAATTCCCACAAAGCCCAGTTAACAGGATACAGTTCAAAGACAATTAACAATAATATTTTTTTCTATAGTAAGACAATTACAAAATTTTGATCTAAGTCGACATAAAAACAATTAACAAGTTACAAGTAACACACTCAATAGGCACGAATCTTGAAGCAACATTAACAACCTCTCACATGTCGCCGTCTGAACGAAAGCCTGGTTTCAGGCGACTGTTCCTTACGAAAAGTGAGAAAATAGTATATACTACTACATGATCTCTTGAAACAACTCTTTTACCATAAACTTTTTAGGCCTTGTTTAGATTAAAATTTTTAGTAGCACGAATATTTTTAATATCAAAAGAACTCGTGATTTTTGTGCAATTAATTATATTTTCGTGGAGATTTAATGCTTCTCCGCGATTAAAAAGTTTGAAAAAACTTGGAATTTTGAGGGTAAAAAAAATAATCATAAGTTTTTAAAAAAAAATAATCATCAATCAATTTTTCTAATAAATTTCTGTATACACAATTTGTAAGCTGCAATAGCCTGGGAGAAGCGACTAATGGTTTTTTTATAACCTGGGTAGTTGAATAATTTAGAATGGGCTATAAACCAAGCTGTTTGGACTGTCTAGGGATTTTTGTAGCACCTACCTTAATTAGTCCATCTAAACATGGTCTAAGTTTTTTCATTTGTGTTAACATTTTCCAAATATATTTGGACAAAACTTGTACGTATACTGGAGTACTATCTAGCAACACTTACTGTTATTTGCGTAAACATTTTCCAAATATATTTGGACAAAACTTGTACGTACGCTACTATCTAGCAACACTTTTGTTATTTTCGTAAACATTTTCCAAATAATATTTGGACAAAATTTGTACGCACTACTACTATCTGGCAACCTTGAGACAAAGGTGGAGGCAGGGACTTGAAACGGTACAATTGAGTTTTATACACATGGAAAAACAGATACTAAAGAAGGAAGGAGGTGCGGAGGAGTACGATGTTGGGATGAGTATGGCGACAAGGAAGGACAAAGAAAAAAACAAACAAAAGACTGAAATGGACTAGAGAATCATGACACTTGACCGTGTCTAATTAAGAGCCCGTTTGGCCGGGCTCCGAGCGGCTCTGGCTCCTCTGACTCCTTCCATATTCATCTCCTGTAACGACACTGTTCATCGGAGCCGTTTTTCTCTCTTCTCCTTTCCTCTCTCACTGATAGCGCCGGAGCCGGAGAAGCTCGTTTTTTTGCTCCTCCAGCTCCAGCTCCTGCGCGCTACAGTTGCGCTACAGTGTGGGAGCCAGAGCCGGTGGGAGCCCGCCCAAACGCACCCTAAGTCTTCTTTCTTTCTTTTCCAGTTTTCATGCTACGGCAATTCACTCGCTGTGAGATCCTCGCCATGCATGATCTCATCGTGTCATCGTCTCGTGGTTCAGGAGGTGTTTAGATTCACCTCCTCAACTAGTCTAGTCGTTGTCCTATCAGATGTTTGATACATGCATGGAGTGTTAAATATAGACTAATTACGAAACTAAATGCATAGATTGAGATGGTTTTGCGAGAAGACTTTTTAAGCCTAATTAGTCCTATAATACAACAATATGATGCATATGCTAATGACGGATATAGGCTTTTAAATTTGTGCTGTGGATGTACGGATCCCGTAATTTGTTTTATTAGTATCAAAATACCATACACACATACTATATAGTACGTCAGCGTTGTTTTTGATTATTACTAAGTGGTTTGATTTGTTTGTGCTGTCCATGTACGAGTAGTGTACACGGTACACACATACTACTAGTACATCGCGTGTTTTTAAACATGACTTGATCCACTTCTTTTTTTATCCGGAATAGTGTTTTTCTCTCACAGATTCCTCTAGAATTCCTCCAAACCATCTAAATTCCTCCAGAACCATACCATCCAAACGGGGCCTAAAGAGGCGACCGTGAAGGGGAATGAGATCGCATCCAAGTAGGAGTTAGGGCAATCTCAATCGGACATTGACGATAGTTTCTATTTCTCTTAGTTATATTGATAACTCAGCAATTTGCTGACGTGGCAAAGGACTCAACGTAGAGAGAGGGTATATAAAGGAGAAACCGTTTCCTCCTCGAGGAACGACGTCCTCACGCGGTTCAAGGCACGAAGAAACGAGCGAAATCGCGTTGGGGGAGAAACGATCGGTTTCTATCGCCCTCTTCCCGATCCGGTGTGCTGCCGCCGGTCCAAGTTCACGCACGCCGCACCTCAAATCCGGCGAGGCCCCGACGTTCGCGTGCGCGGCCCGCATCTCCCCATCCGATGCGCGCGCTCGGCTGCTTTCCGCTCGGCGGCCGACGGCGCCGGTGGCCAGTGCCTGCGCGGTGCCAGGCACGCAAGGCAGCGCGGTGCAGAGTACATGCAGGAGAACTCCCTAGACAGATGCACGCGCTCTGCTGCTTCCCGCTCGGCGGCCGACGGCGCCGGTGACAGCTGCGCGGGGCCACGCCCAACACCGCGGCGTTCTGGAGCGCCTTCGCGAAGCTGGAGGCGAGGCTCGGGCGAGGCAGAATTGCTGGCGATTACCCGCGCACAGGTGAGCAGAGTCTCGCTATAAAAGCCACACGCCGGCAAGATTCTTCCTCCGCTCTTCACCTCAATCCAATTAAAACCATCTACTGGAGCTTCCCGGAAGGATATTGGCGAGTCCCATCTTCGAAGAGAAGCAAGCAAGACTTGAGATGTTGAGAATGTGTCGAGAGAAGCTAGCAACACCGGCGGCCGGACACACGCGATACAGCACGGGAGTGAAAAAGGAAAAAGAGCCAAACGCGCAGAGCCGCCGAAGATCCAGAGACGGGAGAGAGGAATCCGCTAAATGATTGGACAAATTTTTGTTTGGACCTTGGTAGAAAATCTTGCAGGAATATTTTTTTTATACGGTATCATGTGTTATAGAAAGTATTTTTTTTATTGGGACCGCCCTTATGGAGTAGTACGCCGGTCAGGTATTCATCAATGCCACGTCGCTTTCTGGCCGGTACAGCCTCGTCGGAACGGGAACGATTCGACCTGGTGAATAGTGAACTGACGAGGACACTCACGATGCAAGAGTTCTATGTACATCGTATAAAAAAGGGAAATTTTGCTACCGGACATGTCAAGTGACCCCTCTTTGTTAGCGGACATGCAAAATTTGACGATTTGTTGGTGGACACTCTGGTTCCTTACAAATTTGCTGGTGGACACCGGACCGAATAAAATATTCATTTCCGGGCTTTCGAGGAGAGAGAAGCACGGGAAATGTCCTTTCGCCCCGGGCATTTTTTCTACCTTGGTCTCCTTCCTCACGGCGCGACGCTTGTCCTCGTCAGCCGAGCATGCCGCCGCCATTTGTTCCGCCGGAGGAGGCTTCCGGCGTGAGTGGCGCACACATGCCAGCGCATGCCATGGCGGCTTCTTTCTTTGCTGCAGGCCGGCGCGGCCAGCCATGGCGAACCGCAGCTCGGGCGCGTGCCCACGAGCCCGTCGCGGACCGGCTGCTGCTGTGGCACGGCCAGGCGAGGCCATGGCGGAGGCGGCTATTCGTCGCGCCCCACGAGGCCAGCTGGAAGAGCTGCTGCTGCTCTCGACGCCGGCGAGGCGAGGCGGGCGGGCATTGCTCTCGCGCGCTGCTCGCATGTTTCGCCCGCGAGGCCGCTGGCAGAGCTGTCGCTTTCGTCCGCGCTCCGGCGAGGCCATGGCGGAGAAGGTTGCTGCTCGGTAGCGTGCCACGAGGCCGCGCGGACCCGCTGCCGCTGCTGCAGCG